GTGGTAAGGCTGGAGTATATAAACAGATTAGAAATTTTAAGCTTTTAAAGTAGGTGCGGATTATAGGAAGCAACAGAAACAGCCCCAACTTGTGAAATTGATTATATCTTGTGAAAGTGATTAACCGCCGTAACTTGTGGTTTCTAAAAACTGAAATAGAAAAAGTAGCCATAAACTTTTGCCCAATTTGGAAACCTTTGAGAGCGAAAAGTCGGGTTTTGAAAAGTTGACGTTTACATTAGTGTGTTTGTTTCTCGCATGCGCAAGATGATAAATGCTCCCGCGTGTCGGTATGGGCAAGCGCAAACGGTCATTCTGTGAAAACGACGCTTGTGGCAAAGCGCGGAATCGTCTWGATAATCTATAACATGGGTGAATAAGTGTCGTYGGAGCTAGAAAGGATATTGCACTACGCACTCTCATCTGAATACTATGTAATTTTGAGGAGAATGTTGTGTCATACTGCCATGTTCCCTTATTACCTTCCCTTGCTAGAACAACCAACCTGACGGCTGTTTCATTACTACATATATCGCAAGGAGTTTGAGTCATATGGTTACACCACAAGAATAATTTCTGCTTGAATGCCAAATTAGTGCTTGACTGCCAAAAGGCCTTTGTATCTAAATTTCTGAGCATGATATGATATTCTTTTTGTCCTCTACTACTCTCTGGCTCAAGCTCCATTTTTTCTCATTTGACTTCTACGAATTCTCGTCTAATTCATATAGCTTTTTCTTATGACATGTTATGAAACACCGTTATTTCTGAATATATTCTTATACTTTCGGAAACCCTCTGCRTATATCTATAGTGGAGCGCGGCGGACCTCTCGCGACTTTGTCGCTCGTTGGCCGCGCTCGATAAATTCGCGCTTTGCCTAATTATGCAATAATCATTAATAATAAGTTGAAGGAGTCGACGTTCGTTAAAGGTATTTTGTAATATATATTTGTTTATTACCGCTTTGATGTTATTACCACGACCTATGGTCTTTGTAGAGCATCAAAAATAACACATTTCCGGGTGATTTCATGAACATATAACTCATGTATGAGAATCAGTTGATGGAAGGATAGACCGAATAGCACTGACACTAATATTTCGATTCTTACCATAACAAGCTTCCAGATGAACTTTGATAGGTCCATATGGAGTTTTCAGTAATGTAATCTATCTATTTCTGTTCTGCTTACAGTCGACTTTTGATTTAGAATTTAAAAATATATACACAAACTGCAATTCGGGTATCAGATGTTAACGCGTCTTATTACTCACGCGTCAGCCATTTTTATTTCCACTAGAATATCAATACCCTCGAAATTCAAAGGGCTGCGAGGTTTTTTGAAGTCATGACGTAACCAAGAACTGAAACCAATTTGAATATTGAATGTTATTGTATTATTGTATCTTTCGTTCCATTTTAAACACCAACTAAACAAGAAAACTACTCACAGAAATATAATATAACCAATATTTTCCGAAAACTACTGAATAAAACAAAGGGAATTTTGTTATTCGGTAATTTTCGGAAATTAAAACAATCGGCACCCCCCGTTTTTTTCATGTTGTTCCATATTATCATTCATAACGAATAAACGACGTACCCGTTATCAGTCACACCATTTCTCCTATAAAACGATGTTCTGATCCGTTGTTGAAGGTATGAATTATCAAGAAGTTTGAGAAACCAGAACAGGCCTTGGCTTTAGGAGTTATATTCTCTTAGTCAGATAAATTGAGAATAATGAAGAAAAGAAACCTGATTTATCGTTTGATTAAATTACACAAATTTCGCTCGGGAAATGTACATAAGTATTTGCGATTTAAATAGCGTTTGWTTTTGAAGTGAAAATGATTTATTGATTGAAATAATAGCGAATTGAAAAAATTGCGAGAGGGTTTAAATAATAAAATATTAACAATCAAAGAGACACAGTAAAATATATCCATTTCGAAATCGTACCATAATGCTGTGCTCCTTACACTTCGGTTTTGCCTCTTTGTTTTTAGCGTCAGAATATTCACAAATACCAATGTCAAAGTAAAGAATGCACAACTTCTCAACGATACAAGCAATATTAAAATTCAAGGATGTTACCTTCAATACATGAATATTATACACAAAATCGTGGTTAACCCTGAGCAACCGAGAGCTCAAAAAAGGAGTATTATATTACAACTAATTATGTATTTATATGTTTGACAGATGTATGCGGTATGAAAGTGGATCTGAATATATTTTACTTACGCCTATATTTTTTTTCAGGAATGAAACTTGGTATATATCAAAACACTTATCGACTTGAGCCTGAAAATCAGTGAGTGGTAAACGATCAGTATTACTATAAATTACTTTTATTACTATTCCTATATATAATAGCTTTGTCAAAGTGACGTGACCTTCTTTTAGTTTCTTAGAAAATACGTAATATCGACGACCTTATGAAGTAAGAAGTATGAAGGACAGCGCATTAGCTACCACACCTAGTCCTAGTCAGATGATTATCGCACTAATTTAGTTTATATTATTTTAATTCTATACATATTGTTAATTAGTACATTATGGTAGCCTAATCTACTAGCACTCACCGACGGATATATCATTATCCAGTGGATAATTCGATGCTGTTATCCAAAAGATTCATCATCTGAATTACATTTATCCGTTTCTGCGGTCGCCACATGTGAATTGAGTTGTTTGATGTGTACATGCTACGAGGGTTTTCTCCGGGTTCTCCGGTTTCCTCCCTACATAAAAGTCAACATGTAAGCTGAGCGTTGTGTGCATAGAATATTGAATGTAGTGATAGTGCGTGTAAGCGAAAAGTGTCCCCAATTATAGTGCGAAAGCGCTAGAACGACTAGACACTAAGTGTGAAAAAGTTTTTTTTCCCCTGTTGATACCAGTGCAGTCTATTTCCCGGGAAGATATTTAAGAACTGTTTAAGAGCGACTGTCTGTAAGGATCGACCAAAATCGAATTTTCATGGCACAAGTCAAGAAATCGATTTCGCTCATATTT